CATACATATATATATATATATACCTTCATATAGAGAGCAGGTTGCTGTGGGGCCTGGGTTTTTGAAACCCCACTTTTTAAGGGATTAGAGATATTTGTGTCGGAAATATCACTACAATAAGTACAGTACAGCACACTCCAAGTTGCGAGGATGACGAAGTATACCTTGGATGCGCTGACATGCAGAGTGCAAAGACAATAAGTTCAAAAAGTAGTAGTGGTGCCGACAGTGCTGCGCTCTGGTTGATTTTGAGCGACTGTTCTGCCTGATGCACACACGTGTAGCTCTGAGCTTAGCTCATGGCTGCTGCAGGTCGCTTTTTAGCGACTGTCTTCTTGCCACATGAGTACGGTCGCTTGGCTTTCTTACCGGAGCGAACATAACGATTCAGGTACGTAGACTGCTTCTGCTCCACTGCACAATTGTGCAGCTTCACGAAGTACAACACCTTGAAGCTATGGCGCATAGGGGAACTCTCGTTGAGAAGCCGTGCGTACCCCCTAAACCACGAAAAGACTTGTTCACACGCCGAGGAGTTTACCCCCTTGAACCTTGTAGCCAACCTCTTCTTGTAGATGGGGTTGCAAGGACATGTTTTGGTGTGGCCCTTCGCGTGAAAGCCGTCGATGCTCCAGTATTTGATTTGTTTCAGGCTCTTGTCGGCCCGGGCTGTGGGCAAGAAACCGCAGGCACGGTCCATGATTAGGCCATCCAAGTGCTTGTACAAAGGCAAGATTTCGAGAAGCGAGTCATAGAGGATCTCATTGTTCTCCGGAACAGACATGGATCTGACAGCCAGGATGCGAAGATCACGAGGATGGACCAACATGAACCAGCCATGGCCGAACGGCTTAATGCGACCATGCTTGGGAGGTTTACCTGCATGCTTGCGCGAGTTCGCGCATTTGATGTGGACTTTTTGATGCCCATCAGCGACAAGTTCTTTGACTGTAGTCTTGCACTTCGGCGGAAAGACCTTGAGATGGAGGTGTTTATGGTATGCTTGGAGAGCTTGAGGTGTGATCTCGTCGCCGATCTTGATGCTGAGATGTAGTTGTAGTGGATATAGTTCCTGGACGGCTATCCACGACATAATGGCGGAGGCGTGCATCTTTGCAAACCAGTTTGACTGCTCTCCATGAGCAGTGTTGAAAGTGTGCTGGTACGTGTGTTTGATTGCCATGGCAGACACACAGGCACGGAACTCCAGGAAGCTATGGTACTTCAAGTAGTCCGCAGTAAAGCCAATCTTCGTCCCCACAAAGAGAGCCCCGATCTCTTCAATGTTCTTGGGGGTGGCAGTGTTATACTTGTGAGAGAGATCCCAAACAAAATTTGGCCCGTATGTTTTCCTGCACCCGAAGCTCGAACAGCGGAAGCTCTGCACGATAATGCGTTCCATTCCGTTCATGCCGTAGAGGATGGCGTTGATCTCGTGACCTGGCTTCAGGACGGAACTCGAAGAGCAAAAGCATCGTGTGAGATGTGTTTTATACACAGCTCTGGCGGGCGGAAGGGCCGCCGCTGGACGTTTGGTCGGCGCCGGCATGATGGATCTAAAGATCTCAAAACTTGACCCCAAATGTCTAACGAAGTGAGACAGAGTTCAATGCAGACGCTGCATGTGAAGGTGTGTTTGCAAATTCTCTGGTTTTCCAACGGCATCTGTTAGCGGTCCTTGTCAGAGGATCTGCGTGGTCAAAATGGTCCGCCTCGATAAGAGTTAGATCAGTCCTCGGAGTGCATGTGACCTGCGGCCTCCTCATCCGCAGCATCGTCGTACTCGATCCTTTGTTGCTTAGCAGGGGGTGATGCAATCGCTGGACTACTGGTGGTAGCTGCCGTCGACATGTTGCCTCTTGGCGTAGTCAGTGGCCCGCCGTAAGCCTCAGCCCACTGATCGTGGGACCGCCCCCTGGCCAAATACTCCTTCTCGGAAGGAGAAGCAAGCAACTCGTTCACCAAATTGGCCTCAGCTTCAAGGGCTTCCTGATAACCGGGGAACTTCACATGCTGGCCTTCCTTGTATAGGTTGTAGAATTTCTTGTTGGTGGGCTTCAACCAGTCCTTCAGCATGGAACAGGAGTCGAACCGGTGAATGACCTGGTCCGGGTGCTCACTTGCCAGGCGAACATAGACTGCCAAATCACCCGCAATGACCACCGAAGCTCGCTTCAAAATGGCCATGAGGTGGGGGAGAGAAGCATTGTTGACCGCAGGGCTGAACATATCTTTGAAGGCCTCCCAGCCAATCTTGTCGCCCATGGTCATTCGTGGCTCCTTCTCCGCCCCCCATTCATTGTTGAGGAGAATGCGGACTTGGTTGCGCACAAATTTGGCGGCCCTATACCGGGCATCCACCAGGGTGTTCTCGGCCACATCGAGAAAGGACTTGATATCTTCCATGTTCATGGAGTGCAGCAAGGGGTCATCGAGAAGAACCGGCACATGCAACTCGCCAGGCCTTTCCCGGAATCCGTCGATCTGCTTAGATCTTCTAAATCCAGGAATGTGGCCATCAAGACCACGAGTTACCACGAGGTGGCGAGCGACGGCCAGCGCGAGGATGATGGCAGTGGGCGTTTTTCCGACACCTGCACGGCCTAAAAGGATAAGCCCATGCCCAGTCATGGTGGGCATCACCAATGGCACGACCTTCTCCAAAAAGCTTTGGTCCAAGTCATGTAGTAGAAGTGGAAAGAAGTATTCTGGCTCACTCTGTGAGTTGCCCGTGGACCGATTGATGCAAGCTTTGTTGACCACATGATGGGGCCAGCCATAGATGGGAGAATCACGGTCACGAACATTGAGTAGACACCACAAGAACTGCTCGTTCTTGGTGTTGGACAGAGGCGCATAGTCATTGATATAGGCGATACCCGCACGTAGCTCGTCGTCGCTGGGCTGCCAGTTTTTCCCATCACCCGAGTCGTCCTTCTTCATGGCTTTGGCAGACACTTTGTTCACCAATGATTGCGTCAACCATTGCTCGCCCTGGATGCGGTTGAGCATGTAGAGGAAAGCGCACTTGACGTGATCGTTGTTGTTTGCGACCTGGTAGTTGATGACGCTTACCTTCTGTGCACAGAAAGCTTTAGCAAGTCCCAAAGGAATGAAGGCGGAGGAGTGAAAGAACTTCAGTACCGTGTACTTGCCGTCTTGCTCAGGGGATATGGCCATTTGCAATACGCAGGAGTCTCCAAGTGCATCACGAGGACGTACTGAGTCAGGTAGCTCGTTAACCTTGGGCGGGTCCGAGTTGTAGACGTTGCGGATGACATCGCAATCTGCAGCGGAAACCCCCTCTACGATGTGGAAGAACTCCTTGAATTTCTTACCTTTGGCATTGGGGGCATCAATGAGCGGAAGGTCTTTGATGGAGAACTCACCTGAATCATTTAAGTTGTGGACGAGAGCAGACTGGTACTTGATGTACGTCATCTTCGCTGCGATGATTGCGTGATCCATGGTGTGCAAAGCGAGGATTGCTGAGGGCACTGAGGGCAGTATCTGTATCAATGAGCAAAAGCTTCAGGAAGCGAAAGGCAGGACGAGTTTATAAACACGGCCATGTTTATAAACATGTTTGGGGCTTACATTGACTTCAAGTTTGATGCTTTTCCCAAATTGTGCAGTGGCGCCGGCGCTATTGCAAGGAGTCGACTATACTAAGCTTACACTCACTTCGGTCACTTGGCCTGGTCCCATCGGAGTTTGGCCCGGTGAACAGCCTTTAACATAGCCATGACGATGTCCGCTTTCTCCTGGCCCTCCCCTGCCGACAGATCGAGGAGGAAAAGGCTCTCTTGCCAGACGTCATGCCATTCTGCAGGCCACGTGCCCCAATCCGTAGGCAATGTCCAAGAAGATGATGAAGAACTCGAGGAGGCGTCCGAGTCCGAGCCGGCATCCTGTTCCTTGGTGTCCACCGCGTTCTCTGCCTGTGTGTCCTGGGTGTTCTTTGTCTCCTCTAGTTCCAAGAGGGGGTTCTCTGCGAGCAAGTCCTTAGCATCCTTTGCGTCGGGGTTCTCTGTGTGCAAGTCCTCGGCGTCCTTTGCCTCTACCTCCAAAGCCTTTGCCTCCTCTGTGTCCGGCTTGTCGTTTACATCACCGTCCAAGATGGCTAGGGGAGCTGCTGCTTTGGTGCCGGTGCCCTTCTTCGGCGACGACAACCACTTGTTGAGCATCTCCAAGGCCTGTGAGGTCCATTCGCCCTTCACGCCGGTGGTCAAGTTGAGAGACCGTTGGATGTAGCAAATGTGAGATTGGAGCTGACGACTGGAGAGAGTTCTCTTCGATGCGTGTACATCTGAAGTCGGCGAAGCAATCTGCGACATGATGTCCTGAATCGGCGGCATTCCGGAGGAAGTGTTCTGTGAAGGCGACGTCGTGGAAGAAGAAGCAGAAGTAGTTGTAGCGAGGTTAACGCTGGTGAGCTGGAGCTTACACACACCGTTCTCGAACTCAACGAAACCCGCCACAGCCGACGACCGCTTCATGCTACTCTACCGCTAAACTGCGAAACGCCGCTAAACACGTCTTAATCCGAAAATGCTGCATCAACATCTGTGTGAATCTGACTTCATCATGAGAATCGCAACATGAGCATTACGAAAGGAATAGTAATAGTAGCCGTAGTCTAAGATAGTCCAAGTGCAGCCGAGGTGCATTAGTATACTCAACAGAAGATCTAAATCTTTACGTGCTTGTCTGTACAAGCCATGTCTGTAAACTCAAAAACAAGAAGTAAGTGTGTGTGTGTGTATATATAT